CAAATTCCTTTTCGATCTCGAATTTCCTTTTATGCTTCTCTCTTCTCATTTCCAACGTAATTTTTCAGTCGGGGATGCATGGGAAATTATAATCTATCTTTGAATTATGTGGAGTGTTGACTTGAATAAGGGTCCATTGAGAGAAGACCCGACCAAGGACTATCGAGGCCATCAACGATTCAAGGTGTAATGTTAGATACATGTCATCTCAGGTGAAGCATGGATTTCGATGAAATGCTTGTGAGAAAAAATGGGGTTAGAAATGCAGAGTTGACAAATACTACTAAGAGAACTAAGTATCATTATTGAAAGTCACCAACAAAGCTGGAATTATTTTGTAAATAGAATATAATAATTTCTTCATTTAATCCTTGTGCTTAAAGATTTTCCAACAGATGATCAAATATAATGAAATCCCAAACAACACATTCACCTCTCATTCTATTTCGCTCACAGGCACTCTCGTTTGGTTTTTGTTCTTCAATTTTCATTGATTTTGAGTGGATTTGATGAAAAATAAATCTGATGAGAAAGAAAGAGGAGTGAGAAACATTTTGATATTAATCCTGCTGTGAATGACGATCAATGATGGGAAACGAAGATTTAAGGATTTAATAATTCTTTTAAAAAAATAGAAGAAGAAATAATCGGATCATCAAGCTATTGACAATTTAACTGATCAATACCTTCATTGAAACGTAAAACAAAATCCAAGGTTAAAATCAATATAATAACTTAAAAAACTATACGGAAATATGTAATACCCCAAATTTTGGTTAGTGACCAAAATGTAACTTTTGAAAGTTTGATGGTCAAAGTATAAACTTGGAAAAATTTAGGGAATTAAGTGATGAAGTTCCTAAAAAGAATTTTATTCTATAAATAGATAGTTTACTCTTGAGAGTGAGGTTTGTGGAAATCATATTTTGAATTTGGAATTTTAGTACAGAAAAATTAGAAAGGGTTAAAGCCGGTAAGGAATCGGTAATTTCAGATTGAATTGGGATTTTACAAAAAAATTTGAAGGATGTTATAAAATGGTTGGAAATATATTGTAATATTTTGGATCAGAGAAATTTGGTTTGGAAATGTGCAATTTTTCAAATTTAACCAAAATATTGGAATATAGTGACTAAAACGCAAGTTTTGAAAATTCATGGGATTTTTCATAAATCAAAGTCAAAATAATTCATCTTTGACTTTGAAAGATGATAAGTATGAGGTGTATAGGTTTTATGGTGAATATGGAGATTCATTAATGACAAAAATGGAATTTCCTATTGATTTGAATAAAAAAATGCCATTATGTGATATATGCCATGTGATGGATTATTTAATATTAGACTATCAATAATGGTGGAGCATTTTCAGCTTCCTCATCCAAGCTTGTGTGGGTTTTCTCCTAAGGTAAGAGAAAACTTCAACTCAATTTTCAAGCAATTTACTTAGGATTTTGAGTAAGTTGTAAATAGAAAATTGTTATATACGAAAAATGCTATCATTTGGTACCAATATTGCATGATAATCTTGTTGGTGTGCAAAGATCTCAAATTTTATAGGTTGTGTTCATAAAAAGGGATCATGAAATTGATGATAGATCTTGATGTTTGTGAAGTAGTTGATTCATATTCAAACATGTATGATGATTAGAACATGTTAAATCTTTCTAGAACTTGTTCTTTAAGTTTTGGCCATGGATTGTGTGAGTGAGAAAAATTATGGAAAATATTTATATGGGTTGGAAATGATGAAGGTTGTATAAGTTGGAGATCAATTCGTAAATTTTGGGAAACTGAGGGATTGTTGTATAAGTGTTGTATAATGATGTATTATGCTGGAAATTGTTGATTGAGAATTTAAATGAGTGTTATATGTGAAAAATGACTATTTTGGAAGTTTGAAAAGATTTGTGTATTATGTACAACATTTGTATAGTTGGGGTATTTAAATGTAATTATGCTTTTGTAAAAGCATTTGAATGGAATAAATTCAATGCTGGAATTATTGGTATTAAGAATGTAAGTGATAAATGGTGAAGGACCATTTTGTGTAAATTGGAAAAATTGGTTCCAATGTTAAAAGGAATTATTAAGAGATAAGTATTTTAATAGATAATGAGTTTCAATATATATGGAGCTATTTTGGAATATGTTTATATTAGTATAAAACTAACATATGTATTGTTATGAATTTGTGAATTATACAGATCGTAATTGATTTGTGATCGAAGCAAGTCAAATAGAAAAGGGTTTATTGTGGACAATAGTGAGGCACAAATATTTGGAAAAATTATAAAGTGTCAAGGTGAGTGCAATACATGCATGAAATTATACATGGATGTTTTATACATCATCAGGAAGACTTGCGATAAGTCGACCTTGTTTATGTTGACATGATATTTATGTCATTTATCATATTTGATATATTCTAAATATGTCAAAGGTTGAAATAAAATGCATTGATCACTGATTTTTGCATATGATGTTATCATAAACATATGATTTTATCATGAATATTATTTCGGGTATGAACTGCCCAATGTTAAATATTGATAATATACTTTGCCATGGATGTATCAAATAAAATAGACTGTACGCCCAAGTAAGTCATTGAGGGACAGGGTATAGTTGGCATGCCATGGAGTCCAGCAGCAGGCTGCATACGGGATACACTAAAAGATACCTAGTGTATATGGGGTACGACCTTATGTGACATACTGATTATGGTGGACACGACCTTATGTGTCATACTGATTATGGTGGACACGACCTTATGTGTCATACAGATTAGCACTACGGTGCTTATATTTGACTCGTGTACCCAGGGTCCTCAGGGTTGTATACTGGACTATTGTCTATGGTATATGGTTATGGAATAATGGCAAGTGTATTGGTAAAATAAGCTTACGAGCTTATGGATAAATGGTAAGTATATTGGTAAAATAAGCTTACGAGCTTATGGATAAATGGTAAGTATATTGGTAAAATAAGCTTACGAGCTTATGGTATTAAATAGTAAAATATTGCACATGTATGTAACATGATTTTATGGCATTTTGATTTGGACATTGAAATTCATGCATGAATTGTATTGCACTGTATATTGTTTTAATTGCCTCACTAAGTATATATTTAGCGTGTGATGATTTTCACGCATAGGTAAAAAATCAGTAGTGGAATAAGGAGGAATAAGGAGTGCAAAGCGACATCAAGCATCAAGAAGTATATTTCTATATCAGTAAGACATCCTAAGATGTAATGTTGACTTTATTAGTGGCATGTAACTATTAATGTTTTAATTGCTTGTTGAACAAATTGGAAACAAAATGGTAATTTTATGAGTTTTGTATAATGTTAAAATTACTGGAGCAGTCACTGTAGTAGTGCATCGATGCACTGTTCACGTTATTGTAGCAGTGCATCAGTATACTGTTCACTATTCATGGCACTATTCATAAAAAATCTTTTGAATTAAATTTGTTACAGCGAAATATAAATTATATGATATGATATTTTTATAATATCAGTTACCATTTTAAGAAAATAAATTTTAAATCGTTCTAGAATTGAAAATAGTTTTAGAAATTCGAGTGACATCTATAATCTGTATAAGTATTATACGGGTTATGGGTGTTACAAAATATACAATCCTTTGTCCATGAGCCAATCAAATACTTGTGAGATTAAATTTTTTTAGGTTCACTTGTCTTTTTTAGTTTCACTAGGTTCACATGTAAAATTGTACATGGCGGAAAAGTGAAGAACAAAAATCGAACGAGAGTGCATGTGAGCGAAGAGACTAAGAGGTGAATGCGCTGTTTGGGATTTCATTATATTTGATCATCTGTTGGTAAATCTTTAGCCACAAGGATTAAACGAAGAAATTATTATATACCATTTATACAAAATAATTACAGCTTTGTTGGTGACTTTCAACAATGATACTAGTTATCTTAGTAGTATTTGTCAACTCTGCATTTCTAACCCCATTTTTTCTCATAAGCATTTCATCGAACATCTATGCTTCACCTGAGTTGACATGTATCTAACATTAAACCTTGAATTGTTGATGGTCCCGATAGTCTCTTGGTCGGGTCTTCTCTCAATGGATCCTTATTCAAGTCAACACCTCCACATAATTCAAAGTTAGATTAGAATTTCCCATGCATCCTCGTCTGAAAAGTTACACTAGAAATGAGAAGAGATAAGCGAAAAAGGAAATTCGAGATCGAAAATGAATTTGGGGTTTAGAATGAAATTTAAGATTGTATTGCAAGTTTTAAAAGTTGGGGGACCTAAATGCAAGTGCCTGAAAAGTTCAGTGACCATATTACAAATGTACTAATGGTAGTGTAACGACATCAAACGACCGGTTATGTCAGGGACTATATGCAAACAGACTAAATGTTGGGGGACCATATTACAAACAGACTAAATGTTAGGGGACTGTATTGCAAGTTTTAAAAGTTGAGAGATCTAATGAAGTTTTAGAAAAGTTCAATGACAATTACTATACTTTACCCTAATTTTAAAATAGGTTGAAACCTTGTTTAAATTAGTTTTAGGGTGAGAAAATATATTAAAAAGGCAGGAAGTAATAGGAGAACGTGGGCTTGCGTGCTAAACTGACAGGCGGGAGGGCCGCATAGATGCGTGATTATTGCCCTTAAGCCCCACTTGTCTTCTTCTCCTTGTGACCACGGTATGGCGTATCTCTCTTCCTCTTTTTCTATTTGCCATTATGAATCAGCCTCCTCCTTCTTGCTCTTATATATATATATATATATATAACTTATATATAAATATGGAAACACCAAAAAACCCTATTTATTAACAAGCCTAGCCCACTGCTTCCTTCCATGCATTTGTCTTTTATAATTACATTGCCAAACCATATATCTCTTTGATCTTCTCATCCTATAAGTATAACCCCAGTTTCCCCTTCTCTGACAATACCAAAACCCATCTCTCTCTCTCTCTCTGTCTCTGTCTCTCTTCTCTCTATATTATATTTGGTTAAACTTCGATTTTAGTTGGTTTAACACAAGAATGTCAAGCAGAAGATCACGTTCCAGGCAAGCAAGTGGTTCCAGGATCACTGATGATCAGATTATCGACCTTGTTTCCAAGTTGCAGCAGCTTATCCCTGAGCTTCGTGGAAGACGCTCCGACAGGGTACCTAATCATTGTTTTTCTTCTTCTCCTTCTTCTTTATTACGTTTATATTTTTCCAGATGAGTATTTTTGGCTTAATAGCAAGGTTTAAGGGTTTAAATCTCATGAAACGTATCAAATTTCGTGTTACAGGTATCAGCTTCGAAGGTGTTACAGGAAACCTGCAACTACATAAGGAACTTACACAGAGATGTTGACGGCTTAAGCGACCGGTTATCTCAGCTATTAGCTTCGACGGACACCGATAGCGACCAAGCAGCCATTATCAGGGGTTTACTTACGGAATAATCAGTCTTTGATCACTTATTTTTCTTTTTATATATCTAGGGTTTGTTTATGCAGACGAGGGTTGAACCATATGGGTATAGATTAACCATGTTATTTTACCCTATAGTCATTGAGACACTTGTAAAATTCTCGAGTTTGTCCTCGTATATTTATAATGTAAAAATAAATTACGAGTTTGTTTACATATTATTATTTCTGCATAATGTCATAATCACTTACAAATCCCTAGAACGAAGGTCATGTATGCATTGAATATGTTTAAACCTACAACTTATAAGATATAATAATAATAATAATAATAATAATAATAATAATATCAATCAAACTGCCCTCTTTCCCATTAAAATTGCTTTTTTTTTTGTGTTTTAAAATTGTTCCAATTAAATTATCCATTTGAAAAAATCTACAACTTTTATTAAGCACATTTCTCTTTCTACCCTTTTTTTAGTTTCCCAACAAAGTAAAGTTTAATGTTTTTAGGGTAAAATTGTCATTTTCTACAACGCATATCTTACATAAATTTTTTCTTATTAAAACTACGTGAAAACTCTACAATAGACGATGAAATCGGAACAGATGGAGTAATATTTATCGATATAATTGAGTACTATCAGTAAGAAATTTTTCAATTTTGAAATATTGTCTTGGTTTGTTCATGGTGTCGTGCATGAATCTAAGGCGGATATATCAAAGTTTTCAAATGTATAGAGGAAACCTAGACGGCTATGTTCGCCAACGATTATTATGCGGAAATAATGAAAATTTTAACCCCTGGACGTTCCTATGAATTGAAGTAGTTTATTTTTCTTGGATGATTTGAATATGAATAAAACAATATTTAAAACAATAAAATATAAAAGTATTTGTTATCAATACACTATAAATTGAATGGATTGTAAGATCCTTTTATTATTATCTCGGGTGATTATAAGATAATAATTATCTAAAAGATCTAATAATAATTTTTTAAATATTTTTGTATACGTTAATAAAATTATGATCAAATCCTTTAATAATAATAATTATTATTATTTTAATCACTAAAACCACTCCAACTTATATTAAAGGATTTTTAGAATTTAAGAGTGGAACTATAAAGGTCAACCGCTGAATCTGTGGACATGGGCTCACGTGATTTAGGTACTGGGACTATTGGTCTAACGTTTTCTCATCAGTCTCTATTCGAAATAGGTATAAATTTCGTGATACTCGTTTTTTATCATAAGACCGTGAAAAGGGAAAAAAGAAATGAGCTAATTCCTCTAATTTATTCCCCCTTTTTCGGCTGATTAATGCCCTCCGTTGTTTTGATTTAATTTGATATTTACTTTCTCGCAGCTAATTAAATATCCAAATTTAATTTTAAAATCTAAATTGGTACTTTCTTTTAGTTATTTGATCAAATTGATATTTATAAATAAATAATTTATTTAAATCAACTAGAATATCAAAATCATGTTCGGGTAACAAATTAAGGGGCCGTTTGTTTATTGATGAATGGAACCATGCATTCTCACCTCTGAATGAAGACTATGCTTAATGAAACAGTAAAAAACTGTCGAATGATTCAGCATTAAAATAAATTTTGAATTATTAAGCACCCGATATTTTACCATAATACCTATTTTTCACATGTTGTCTTATTAAACAATCATATCTTATAATATAATAAATCAATATGAAGGTAAAAATGAAAATATTCATAATTCAGATTGTACATTCGGAACCATTATCAAACAGCATGTTACATTCAAAACCTATTCATACAGAACCTTTGAATCATTTAGACCATTGAATCATTCGACGCTTAATCATTTTATTTTATCAAACAACCCCCAAGTCATTAGATCAAGTTTCTGTATCTAACTAGAAAAATTAAAATTTTAAATTAAACATTAATATTAAGTTTAAATATCTAATTAGACGAAAAAATAACTTAAATATTAAAATAGTCTTGAAATCAAATTCAAATTTGTTTCTTCTCGACGGACAAAATCATGCGAGAGGCTAAAAGTTACTAATTTATTGTAATTCATAAAAATGTTACTCCTACTAAACATAGGATTACCACAAAGAGTCTATTTTCTCAAATGAGATGTATGAACTACATTACCAAATCCCAAGTTTTGTTTTAAAATTTGCGATCATTGAAGCTTAGGGTTGCAATGATCGTATACCATGGGAAGGTAAACAAATTAGAAAATGGAACACACGCACGCACACGAAAAGGGTTAAATGTAAAGCTAAAACCTGTTTAAAGGGCGTGGTTCAGGCCTTTATCTTCTTCTGCAGCTTCTTCCACTTGAGGAAGATTTGGTAAGACAACCCGGCGAAAACCATGAGTACGCAGCTCCATTGCTTCGTGGACAGTGGATTGCCACTCAGCAGAGAAGACACCACGATGCTGACGAATTTGCGCGTCGTGGTGATGGTTGTGTTCGCCAAGGAGCCGAATCGACTTATGGTCAAGAAAATGAAATTCTGGCCAACCGCACCGCAGAGGCAATAGAACAATATATCCTGAGCGGCTTCCGGATGCTGCTTGCAGAACTGGACTGCCTCGAAACCACTAGCTTGTGGCCAACCAAACATGTAGATCATGTTGTATATGGTACCCCATAAGTTCATTCCCAACATTATATCCCAAGCACTTGTCTTTGGATACCTAAGCAAAAAAAAAAAAGAATGAACCAAAGTTCTCCTTTAGAAAAAAAAAACAGTAAGAGCTTTTGCTCCTAAATTTACTTGGAAAACTTATTCAATTGACCAACAAACTATATCAACAAGAATATTTCTTGGATAGTTATGTCTAAATATGGACAGTAAGAAAGGAAAAATGGGATCGAAAGAGCAATGTATAATAAATGTCAAGCAAACTAGCAAGCACAAAAGCTGAAGTACAAACATACCTAGTATTTATTGAGTCCTGAGTGGCGTTAGTAAAGCCATCAAATGCAAGGTTCAAAAAACAGAGCCCATATCCAAGGGGTGCATTAGGATGTGCCAACTTGCTAATTGTTTTTTTGCTAGTCTGGAATAAGATCAAAGCAGACATATGAGCAAAGCATATGACTCGAATTGAGATTTCATGGGAGACTTAAAGACATTTAGTCATCGGGATGCCTAACGAAGAAGCAAGAGGTCAATAGGAACTAGAAAAATAGCGACATTGCTATTACAGTCCAACAAATAACACATTTCTCACCTTGATAAGTGCAAACATAGATACCCCTCCAGCCACAAGGAATGTGCAGATATACTCGGGGAAAGAGTATCGAATACCATAGACTAGAGTACCCATCAGCATAACTGCATAAGGGAAAAATACGTTAGTAGATCATTCAGAAACATCATGATACATGGTTCCTAAACCTAAAGAAAATTTAGGAATAAATGACACATTCCTTATAAACTACCAATTCAAAGTTATTAATGCTTTGCATGATTCCGTCAATTTACTAATCAATGAAGAATCATGAGAAAAAGATAGATCGGAGAAAATAATGTACATCTTACCTGGAATCATTTTTGAGGATTTTGCCAGAACCTGCAAGTAGGACGGACATCATCAAATGTTAAAAGTTAAAATCAATCTAGCTGTCCAAGGAGAATCAACAGCAACCATAATACCAAGGACTAAAGCCTCATCACTAATCAGTAAGCATTTGAATTCAACTATTGTCATGGCACTTAAATAAAAAGTGTCCATAGTTTAACTTTGTACACGAAAAAACATTTTGCCAATTATGAGAACTAGACTAGAAAAGGCATAATTAACTAAGAATTGGTTTGTCGAATATAGATTAGGGTTGCAGATCAATAACTAGATAGGCATGGAAACATGAGAGATAAAACGAGGAAATATCTAAAAGGCATGGAGAATCTAAGACCATGCCTGAGCAGGATAACTGATGTATTTCAATGCTTCAATTCCCATGGCTGGACCAATTGTATTCGTGATTCCAGCACTCCAATAAGTCCACCATGGTGCACCACCACTGCTGCCACTAGACCACAGCTTGATCACTGTATTTGAGGCACAAGAACAAATAAATTATTCTCTACTCCTCACCGGTCAATGGTATAGAAGAGTAAACTTAATCAAAATACAATAGTATGGTAACAGGGATGACGAAACTCACTTATGTATGACCAGGCTAAGCAGATCACATTTTGTGCCAAGTTAAGGAACGCAAGATGCTCAAACCTCTTCCCATCAGGGCCAAATCGTTTGGTGGATCTAAAAATAAAAGAGATAAACAATGTGTTTATGAAACAATAAAATAACTTAGTAAAGTATGCTCGCACTTCGATCTTCATTCAAGTGAAATGTTTAGAATCCAAGCAAATAGTCAGCAAAAAAATATATATGAAATGAACTGTTGCCATTAAAAAGTGTAGATTCAATAACAGTAAAGTGGAAGGAATCACCGCAAGTTATTCCAATTCAACCCAAAGAAAGGTCATTTTACTCGAGTGATTTTAGAACTAACTTCTAAAGTAAAATATTGACTAAGATCCAATTTTTCGTTTTCTACCTTTGCGTCTAAATCCACTTCCAAATTAACTAAGAAATTCGAATTATCTGTCGCGTATTAAAAAATGCAAACTTCGGAAACTATCAACAGCAGTTAATCGGAAAAGTCCAGAAGAATCGAATAAAACAAGAGAACAATCTGATATAAAAAGAAAAAATAATATAAAATTTCGAAAAAAATAAAAACATACAGAGTTTCCTGAAGAACGCCTTGGTAAATGTAGGCAGACCAAATCCCGGCCACGCAAAACGCCAACACTAAAGCTCGCCGTAGTCCGACGCCGGTCGCTTCCATTACGACGCCGTTAAATAACTATTTTCCCTTCTTCTTCTTCTTCTTCTTCTTCTTCTTCTTCTTCTTCCTCTGATTTTGTCTGATAATCAAATTAAAGGAAAAAAAAGAATCGACAAAGGAGGAAACATAGAGAGATCTTATAACGACCATCCTGTATATCATAAGGAAGCA